TCCAATGTGAGCATGGATGCCTCGGCAATGATCACCCCAGTCACTTAAGAAACTCTGAACGTCTGAAGCCAGACACAATGATTGCCCAGAGACCCAGCTATGCCCAACACCATATTGTGCAGTTACAGAATTCCCACAGTCATAGCACACAAGGCTCGCATATTCACCCAGTGCAGGGGATCCACTCAACCCCGCAATCTTGCTCCATTCACAGAGAGAGCAGATGCATTCCCAGAGCCAGCTGCCTGTTGGTGGTCCACCTTGGCAGTTTGATTGTGGGCACCTGTGGTAGAGCAGGGGGAGGGTAGCACCTCACAGTCCTAAGTTGGTGCCCAGCCCCCTGCCAACCTCGTAAGCCAGACTCACAGTCAATGGGGATGACCGACTTATCCCTCTGAACCACCATGCCCCCTGCTAGCACTCAAGACTGGACTCAAAGTCAGTGTAGTCTGCAAGGTTCTCCCCCAGACAATATCACCAGTGACATAGGCTATGGCAGTTTCCTCTCACCTTGCTCCCAGAAGATGGCATCTTCTCCAGCCCGCAGCTATGGGAGTCATTGTGGTGTCCCCGCTCTTATTTTACTTTTTACAATGACATACTTTCATTTTCTTTATAATCACAAGATTAACCCTCCACTTACTAAAGAATTCAATAAGTAGTAAGTAGAAAAATCACTGTTCCTCAAGAGTATAGACAAATGCTATAACTAATAATCAAATCTCAAAATGTCAATTTTGCTTATATAAACTACATCTTTTGTACTCTGTGTATTAGTTATCACAAATCAGTGAAAACATGGTATTTGTCTTTTGGGGACTGGCTTATTTCACTAAGCATAATAATCTCCAGTTTCATCCATTTTGTTGCAAAAGACAGGATATCCTTCTTTTTATAGCTGAGTAGTATTCTATCACTTATGTATACCATAATTTATTTATCCAGTCATCAGTTGACAGGACATCTGAGTTGATTCCGTATCTTAGCTATTGTTAGTTGAGCTGCTATATACATAAGGGTAACATATCTCTGTCGTTTTTCAGTTTCTTGTCCCTGTCACATATGGATTTCCTTATTTCATTTAACTGTGTCTCTGTGTACTTGAGTAACCTTATGATCATTCTTTTGAATTCCTTTTCAGACATTTTGTCAATCTCCCCTTCTTCACAGTCCAATATTAATGTATTATTGTGTTCCTTATGAACAAGCCTTCCTTGTTCATATGTTTTGTGTTTCTACATTGAATTTTATGCCTGTAGGGTATCACTCTTATCTCCTCTGGGGGATACTCTTAAAACAAATTTTATTGAAGGCTTTATTCTTGTAAATGTGCCTCTGTGGCTCAATTGAGTGCCTGAAGCTTGCATTGGATTTCTAGGAGTGTGTGTGTTCTTGGTGGGTCCAGGGAGTTCTGACCACCATTTGTGGGTGGGACAAGGTTCCAGGGTGACACCCGAGTTGGACATGCTATAGCTACTCTGGCTAGTCAGTAGTAGGAGATGTTGGAGCTGGCTGGTTTGTTCACAGTCTCTGCCCTTCTCTGTGCCAAGGTGAACCAACTGATTAATGGTCCAGAGAAAACTCATGGTGCCTGCACATCCTACCTACTCAGGCACAAGCACCATACAGAGCACTCACCCACTCTGTAGTGTGTACCCAGCATATATTGAGCTCCAAGTTTCCAGCAGACTGCATGGGTGTACGGAACCCAGCCACAGTCCTCATACCTCTCAGCTCTGTGGTCTGTGTCCAGAACTCTCCCAGTCAAAGGATACAGGGGTTCTGCTTTCCTCCCTGTGAGCTGCCTCATCCCTGTGAAAGCTGCCTGCCATTCCCTGAGTCAGAACAAAGATCTGCTACAACTGCCCCTCCACAAATTGCCTTGGTGGTTTGGTGGTAGAGGGAAGGGATGCAGTATGGCTTCCTTTCATGGATCAAAGCTGCCAGTGGCAGGTATTGTGGAAGCCTCCTCTTATGTTGTCTGGGAAGATGGTGCTTCCCAGCTGGGTACCAACTGCGTATATGCAGAAGTCACTGGAGGTGTGTGGTTGGCGGCTGAGTATCTGTCCTCCCTTTTCACTGATTTATGGAGTCTCTTTCCTGCTCTATTCTGTCCACCCTCCACTGAAAATTCCTCTTAACCAGTAACCTGGGAACATGGTCCTTCCTTCACTTTTCTTATATCTTTCTTTGGCAGAGGTCAGTGTGGCTTCTCACTATTCAGCCTTCTTGGATTTCTCAAAGGGAAAGAATTTAGAAAGTGTTAAAGTTGGGAACCTCAAATTGGTAGGGATGCATTAGACACTCATCTTACAGTATACACCAATAAAAGTTACACATATATTAAATTAAATGAAAAAAAATTAACCATAAAGTACTTCAAAGGAAATATGTGAATATTTACTAAGTGTAAATGGAGTGGAACAAAAAAGGAAAAATATGTTTGATATAATAAAAAATTAGGCTCCTATATGTTAAATATTTTTTAAAGAAAAATCAATTTTTATAAATATTTGCAATCATATGACAAGGAATTAACATTTTTAATATGTAAAGAAAAAAATCTCAGTAGAGAAATGAGCAAATTCCATTTGGTGAATAATTCACTGAATAAGAAATTCAAATGACTTCTATGAGGGGAAACATCTTTCCTTATTAATTGTAAAAGAATTGTAATGTGCATAACAGTGTTTATTCAAATGTGATTTTTAAAAAGATTTTATTTATTTATTTGAAAGGCAGAGTTACAGAAAGGCAGAGTCAGAAAGAGAAAGAGAGAGACAGAGAGACAGAGAAAGAGGTCTTCCATCCTCTGGTTCACTCCCCAAATGGCTACAATGGCTGGAGCTGGGCCATTCTGAAGCCAGGAGCCAGGAGCTCCCTCCAGGTCTCCCACATGGGTGCAGGGGCCCAAGGACTTTGGCCATCTTCTACTGCTTTCCCAGGCCATAGCAGAGGGCTGGATCAAAAGTAGAGCAGCTGGGACTCAAACCAGTGCTCATATGAGATGTTGGCACTGCAGGCTGCGGCTTTACCCATTATGTCATAGCACTGACCCCTCAAATGAGATTTTTATACTAGAAAAAGTTGAAAAAACCTAAGTATTCAAAATAAAAGAATTGTTGAAAGTGGTATGTCTATCTAAAGGTATATTATATTGCCACAAAGAGTTAGGTTTTAGAAGAATAGTGAAATGAGAAAATGTCAATAATCCAATATCAAGAATAAAAAGAATACCAAAATCGATGCTGTCATGATTCAATTTTTTAAGTTTTAATTTTTATTAATTTTTATTTTATCTTCCATTTGTTGGTTCACTACCCAAATGTCCTCAATGGCCAGGATTGAGCCAGGAGCTGAGAACTCTACCTTGGTCTCCCATGTGGGTGCAAGTTTGGAATTCAGAGTTACAGAAAAAGAGAGAGAGATTTTCCATCTGCTGATGTACTCCTTAAATAGCCAGAATTGCTATAGCTGGACCAGGCTGAAGCTGGGAGCCCAGAGCTCCCACCTGGGATTCAGGGGCCCAAGTATTTGGGCCATCCTCTGCTGGGAGCTGGATCACAAGTAGAGAAGCCATACTCTAATCAGTGCTCCTAAGGAATGTAGGTATTGCAGGTGGCAGCTGAGCCACTCTGCTATAATGCCAGTCCCCCTGTTGCCTTTATAGGGAAGAGTGTAATACCAAGAACCTGATTTGTTAAAGGCTTTTAGAAGAAAGCAAAAAGATGAATGGATGGGGCCAGTGCTGTGGCATAGAAGGTAAAGCTGGGGCCTACAGTGCCAGCATCTCATATGGTCAATGCTTGAAGTCCTGGCTGCTCCAAATCCAATCCAGCTCTCTGCTGTGGCCTGGGAAAGCAGTAGAAGATGGCCCAAGTCCTTGGGCCCCTGCACTCATGTGGGAGACCCAGAAGAAGCTCCTGGCTCCTGGCTTCATATCGGCACAGTTTCAGCCATTGGGGCCATCTGAGGAGTGAACCAGCGAATGGAAGATCTCTTTTTCTCTTTCTGCCTTTGCCTCTCTGTAACTCTGCCTTTCAAATAAACAAATAAATCTTTTTTTTTTTTTTAAAGATGAATGGAATCTTAGGTTAAGATTCAAAAGTAGGGGACCGGGGTTGAAACTGTGGCTCAGTAGGTTAATCCTCTGACTGCTGTGCCAGCATCCCATATGGGTGCCGGTTCTAGTCCCAGCTGCTCATCTTCCAATCCAGCTCTCTGCTGTGGCCTGGGAAAGCAGTGGAAGATGGCCCAAGTCCTTGGACGCCTGCACCTGCATGAGAGACCAGGAAGAAGCACCTGGCTCCTGGCTTTGCATCAGCACAGCTCTGGCAGTTGTGGCCATTTGGGGAGTGAACCAACAGAAGGAAGACCTTTCTCTCTGTCTCTCCCTCTCACTGTCTGTAACTCTACCTCTCAAATAAATAAATAAAATCTTCTAAGAAAAAAAAAAGTAGGGGACCAGTATTGCTGTGTAGCAGATAAAGCTGCCTCCTGTGATGCCTGCATCCCATCTGGGCACCGGTTTGAGTCCATGCTATTCCACTTCCAGTACAGCTCCCTGCTTATGTGCCTGGGAAAACATTGGAAGATGGCCCAAGTGCTTGAACCCCTGCATCCACATGAGAGACTTGGACAAAGTGCCTGTATCCTGGCTTCTGTCTGGTACCACCCTAGCAATTGTGGTCATTTGGAGGGTGAACATAAATCTTTTTTTAAAAAAAGATTCAAAAATAGAAACTAACCTTCGTACAATATATGTCACTGTTAATATTTTCTCTATTGCCAGAATCAAGTCAGTGGGCCTGTGTTAGTATAAGTAAATGATAGATTTTGAAGATAGGTCTATTTTAAGTAGATAATGTGCTAAATAGAAAGTTGGTATTATGTTAACTCAAATTCTGTGCATTAGAAGAACCAAGCTTTAGATTGAATGCTATTTACACACACAGTTGTCCTGATTTCACGAATAATATTTTATGGTATTTATTTTCCAGTTTAATGAACATTATTCTGCAGGAAATCTAAATCCTGTTTCATCACAACAAGAAATTGGTAAGTGATTTGAATTTACTGCATATGAAAGCATATCAGTTTTCCTCCCTAGTATTAGTTTATCTCCGATATTAAGAGTTCTATTTATTCTTTAAAAATTATTGCTTTGTACTATTCATTGTTCATTTTTAAAAATTTAAGAAAATTTAGCTGCTTCTGTTACTTCTCAACCAAAACTTATTTTCCCAAAGCTTTCTAATGATTTTCCAATTTATAAAATATTCAAGGCATTGTTCACTTACCATCATATTCAGTCTCTGTAGCATTTGATATGATTGACTATTACCATCTTCTTTCTAGATAATTTGGATTTCTTTCTGTCTCTTTGGTGCTTCTTATTAGATTTTATTTCTTCTTTCATTCCTTCATTGATTAATTCAATAGCATAAATGTGTATATATATATATATATGTATTGTTTTATATCAGGTATTGCTTTTGGCTTTGGAGATAGAACACTGAGTATAGTTCTCATTGGATGTACAGTCTAGTGGAAAAGACTGAAAATGAACAAATAGATTAATGTATGTTAGGTAGTGTACAAAACAGTTGTCATGGGTTTGAATTGACAGCTGGGATCACATGTTGCAATTTTTATTCTAATGTTAAATTTACTTAACTTTGTAAGAAGACACAGGATAATAGATAAGATAATGTCAGTAAAAAATATCTCTGTCTCATAAAATACCCACTGACTATTAAGTTTTCTTTCACCACTTCATCACATGAAACATGCTGGGCTATTGTGGACAAGAGGCATGTAGGTCACCTTGACATATAAAAGTCGCAAATTCAGTTTCCCACCAGTCTTTTATACCATTCTGTTAATGAGGCCCAAGGCCTATATGCTAACTTATAACTCTTCTACTTTAGGTGCAGTCTCTCACAGCAGACTAGGCAGACACAACATTCTACCTTTATTTTAATTCTGTATTTTCTAAGAAAACAGTGTGGTGAAAAGTCAGACTGCAAAGTGGTTCTTCAAAGTGGGCCTGAATCACCCCAGGATTGATGTTAATTCTTTACCTTCTGGTTGTGATGATAGTTTAACAAAATGTAAAGCAGAGTGATGAGAATAGGAAGTTCTTGGATTGAGAAAGCAGTTGCTGTATTACAAGGACATCAGGCAAGGCATCATTAAAAGCTAACATTTGTGTAGAGATCTGAAGGAGGTCCAGGTCCAGGCTTCTGGGGAAAAAAAGTTCCAGGCAAAGAGTGAAAAGATCTTGAGATGGGAACATGCTCAATATAGTTATTGAACAGCAGGTAAATTGCTGTGATTGGAATGGAATTAGGAAGGAGAAAGTGGTAGGAAATTAGATCAGAGAGGTTGGACAGGGAGTGATTCATGTGGGACCTATAAGACCCTAAAGGACTTGGAGTTCTGATTGAGTTGGAATGCTACTAGAGGGTTTTAAGTCAAGGAACTAAATGATGTGACAGGCTTTTAAAGAATTAAGCTGGCTGTTATATGAAGAACAGACTATATGGAAACAAGGATAGTAGTAGGGAGATAGATTAGGAAGCTGTCAAAATAATACAAATGGGAATAACGGCTAGGATGGTGACAGTAGAAATGGTAAAGATATCTGATTTTGGCTATAAAGCTAAAGCTGAAAGAATTTGCTAAAGGATTGGATGTAAGGCTCGAGGGAAAGAAAGATGATGCCAAAGTTTTGACATAAAAAATTGAGAACAATGTTGCAATTTATTAAAATATGAATGGCTGTAGGAGAAGTTAATTTCAGACTGGAAATAACTTGCATTTGAGTTTTGAAAGTGGTATAATTTAAAAGCATATTTATTAGCTATTTATAGGAAAGTAGAAAATTATATATATATATATTAATCTGGGTTGAACATGATAGAGACATAGATTGTGGAATTTTTACAAATGATAAGTAATGCTATGAGACCAATACGAAGTTCCAGCTATAGATATCTACTAAATATCTAACACCTAAAATTTTAAATACACATTCTCTTCTTTGCTTTAGTCATCCATTTGACATGTATTCTCTTCAGTGCTTTCATTGTAATATAGATGCTGACCAAATTCATATCTCCTTGTTTGACTTCTTCTAAACTCTAGGGCCTTATTTCTGATAGTATAATTGAAATATCTTTGTATCTAAGAGTTCTTCTGACATTAAAAATGGGTGATATATGAAATCAAACTTGTTCTCTGATGTCCCTAATGATGTCTCCATTATTCTGGTTGCCAACATTCAGAATATCAGTGACAATTTTTTTTAAAGATTTATTTATTTATTTGAAAGTCAGAGTTACACAGAGAAAGGAGAGGTAAAGAGAGAAAGAGAGAGATAGGACTCCCATCCACTGGTTCCATTCCCCCAATGGCTGCAATGGCTGGAGCTGCGCCAATCTGAAGCCAGGAGCCAGGAGCTTCTTCTGGGTCTCCCACATGGGTTCAGGGACCCAAGGACTTGGGCCATCTTCTACTGCTTTCCCAGGCCACAGCAGAGAGCTGGATTGGAAGTGGAGCAGCCAGAACCCTAACCTAACCGGCACCCATATAGGATGCTGACACTTCAGGCCAGGGAGTTAACACACTGCGCCAGAGCGCTGGCCCCTTCAGTGACAGTTTTAACTTTCAACTAGCCTTCACTATTTCAATATTTCAGCTATCCTTCACTATTTCAATATTTTTCTGAAATATTAATTATTTTCCTTTTCTGTTTTTTGTTAAAATTATTATATCTTGAACTCTTTTTTTTAAAGATTTATTTATTTATTTATTTGAGAGGAAGAGTTACAGACAGAAAGGGGAGACAGAGAGACAGGTCTTCCATCCTCTGGTTCATTTCCCAAATGACCGCAACACCCAGAGTGGGGCCAGTCCAAAGACAGGCACTAGGAGCTTCTTTTGGGTCTCCCACATGGGTACAGGGGCCCAAGCACTTGGGCCATCCTCCATTGCTTTCCCAGGCCATTAACAGGGAACTAGACTAGAAATGGAGCAGCCAGGACTTGAATCAATACCCGTATGGGATGTTGGTGCCACAGGCAGAGGCTTAACCTACTACACCTCAGTGCCAGACGCATATTTCTTTTTTTTTTTAATTTTTTATTTAGTAAATATAAATTTTCAAAGTACAGTTAATGGATTACAATGGCTCCCCCCCATAATTTCCCTCCCACTCACACCCCTCCCATCTCCTGCTCCCTCTCCCATTCCATTCACATCAAGATTCATTTTCAATTATCTTTATATACAGATCAATTCAGTATATGTTAAGTAAAGATTTCATCAGTTTGCACCCACACAGAAACACAAAGTGTAAAATACTGTTTCAGTATTAGTTATAGCATTACTTCGCATTGGACAACACACTAAGGACAGATCCCACATGAGAAGTGAGTACACAGTGACTCCTGTTGTTGACTTAACAATTTGACACTCTTGTTTATGGCATAAGAAATCTCCCTAGGCTCTAGTCATGAGTTGCCAAGGCTATGGAAGCCTTTTGAGTTCGCCGACTTCGATCTTATTCCGACAGGGTCATAGTCAAAGTGGAAGTTCTCTCCTCCCTTCAGAGAAAGGTAACTCCTTCTTTGATGGCCCCATTCTTTCCACTGGGATCTCACTCGCAGAGATCTTCCATTTAGGTCTTCCTTTTTTTTTTTTTTTCCAGGGTGTCTTGGCTTTCCATGCCTAAATACTCTCATGGACTCTTCAGCCATATCCGAATGCCTTAAGGGCTGATTCTGAGGCGAGTACTATTTAGGACATCTGCCATTCTATGAGTTTACTGTGTATCCCGCTTCCCATGATGGATTGTTCTCTCCCTTTTTGATTCTATCAGCTAGTATTAGCAGACACTAGACTTGTTTGTGTGATCCCTTTGATTCCTAGACCTATCAGTGTGATCAATTGTGAACTGAAATTGATCACTTGGACTAGTGAGATGGCATTGGTACATGCCACCTTGATGGGATTGTATTGGGATCCCCTGGCATGATTCCAACCATTTGGGGCAAGTCCAATTGAGCATGTCCCAAATTGTACATCTCCTCCCTCTCTTATTCCCACTCTTATATTTAACAGGGATCACTTTTCAGTTAAAATTTAAACACCTAAGAATAATTGTGTGTTAATCATAGAGTTCAACCAATAGTACTAGAACAAAAACAAAGAGAAAATACTAAAATGGATAAAGTATTACATTGTACATCAACAGTCAGGACAAGAGCTGATCAAGTCACTGTTTCTCATAGTGTCCATTTCACTTCAACAGGTTTCCCCTTTGCTGCTCAGTTAGTTGTCACCGATCAGAGAGAACATATGATATTTGTCCCTTTGGGACTGGCTTATTTCACTCAGCATGATGTTTTCCAGATTCCTCCATCTTGTTGCAAATGACCGGATTTCGTTGTTTTTGACTGCTGGATAGTATTCTATAGAGTACATGTCCCATAATTTCTTTATCCAGTCTACTGTTGATGGGCATTTTGGTTGGTTCCAGGTCTTAGCTATTATGAATTGAGCTGCAATAAACATTAATGTGCAGACCACTTGATTGTTTGCCAATTTAATTTCCTTTGGGTAAATTCCAAGGAGTGGTATGGCTGGGTTGAATGGTAGGGTTATATTCAGGTTTCTGAGGAATCTCCAGACTGACTTCCATAGTAGCTTAACCAGTTTTCATTCCCACCAACAGTGAGTGGGTCAGTGTCCCTTTTTCCCCACATCCTCTCCAGCATCTGTTGTTGGTAGATTTCTGAATGTGAGCCATTCTAACTGGGGTGAGGTGAAACCTCATTGTGGTTTTGATTTGCATTTCCCTGATTGCTAGTGATCTTGAACATTTTTCATGTGCCTGTTGGCCATTTGGATTTCCTCTTTTAAAAAATGTCTATTGAGGTCCTTGGCCCACCTCTTAAGTGGGTTGTTTGTTTTGATGTTGTGGAGTTTCTTAATTTCTTTGTAGATTCTGGTTATCAACCCTTTATCTGTTGCATAGTTTGTGAATATTTTTTCCCATTCTGTTGGTTGCCTCTTCACTTTCCTGACTGTTTCTTTTGAAGTACAGAAACTTCTCAATTTGATGCAATCCCAAATGTTAATTTTGGCTTTGACTGCCTGTGCTTCTGGGGTATTTTCCAAGAAGTCTTTGCCAGTACCTATATCTTGCAGAGTTTCTCCATTGCTCTCTAATAATTTGATGGTGTCGGGCCAGACGCATATTTCAAACTCTTTTATTTTATTTAAGTTATGCAAGTTTCATGCATTTCATGTATACAGATTTAGGAACATAGTGATACTTCCCACCTCCTGCCCATGCTTCTTCAACTCCCTCTTCAATTCTCACTCTTAATTTTACCAAGTCTATTTTCAATTTACTTAGTGATTATAAAGTTAACCCTACACTAAGTAAAAGAGTACAATAGTACAAGAAAAAAAAAAAAAACACTGTTCCTCAAAGGAAGAGACAAGGGCTGTAAACAATCATCAAATCTCAAAATGTCCAATACATCACATTTTAGGTACTCTATTAGTTACCTCAGGTCAGGGAAAACATATGATGTCTGCCTTTTTGGGACTGCCTTATTTCACTAAGCATAATGGTTTCCAGTTGCATCCATTTTATTACAAAAGACAGGATTTTTTTAAACACAGTGTATAGTATTCCATAGTGTATATATATCATCATTTCTTTATCCAGTCTTCAATTAATGGACATCTGGGTTGATTCCATATCTTAGCTATTATGAATTGAACTGCAATAAACATGGGGATACAGATAACTCTTTCATCTATTGATTTCATTTCCTTTGGGTAAATTCCCAGGAACGGGGTGGCTCAGTCATATGATAGGCCTGTATTGAGATTTCTGAGATATCTCATACTGTCTTCCACAGTGGCTGGACCAGTTTACATTCCCACTAACAGTGGATTAGGATACCTTTTCTCCCTCATCCCTGCCAGCATCTGTTGTTTGTTAATTTCTGTATGTGAGCCATAATAACTGGGATGAAGTGAAACCTCATTGTGGTTTTGATTTGCATTTCCCTGATGGTGAGTGATCCTGAACATTTTTTTCAGGTGTCTATTGGCCATTTGAATTTCCTCTCTTTGCCCATTTCTTAACTGGATTGTTTGTTTTGTTGTTGAATTTTTTGAGCTCTTTATTGATTCTAGACATATTTTAAACTCTTAATACCATTCACTTGGGCTATTGGCCTTTTCACTCTCAGCTTACCTCTAAATCCAGTTTAATTAATCATTCTGGGGCTGATCCTGTGGTGTAGCAGGTAAAGCTGTCGCCTGCAGTGCCAGCATCTTATATGGACGCTGGTTCGAGTCCCAGGCTGCTCCACTTCTGATCCAGCTCTCTGCTATGGCCTGGGAAAGCAGTAGAAGATGGCCCAAGTCCTTGGTCTCCTACACCCACGTGGGAAACCCGGGAGAGGCTCCTGGCTCCTGGCTTTGGATCGGCTCAGTTCTGGCTATTGTAGCCATTTGGGAAGGGAACCTGTGGATGGAAGACCTTGCTCTCTTTCTTTGCCTCTGCCTCACCATAACTCTGCCTTTCAAATAAATAAATAAATCTTTTTTAAAAAATTAATCATTCTTATGCATAATGTTGGCAATGTCACTGCTGTAATCAAAAACCTTCAATGTTCTTATTGACTATCAAATTATTATTTTACTTTTCTAACCTAGTTCCAACATAGCTTTTAAGTCCTTTCTTTTAAAAGAATAATCTGAGCCGGCGCCGTGGCTCAATAGGCTAATCCTCCACCTTGCGGCGCCGGCACACCGGGTTCTAGTCCCGGTCGGGGCGCCGGATTCTGTCCCGGTTGCCCCTCTTCCAGGCCAGCTCTCTGCTATGGCCAGGGAGTGCAGTGGAGGATGGCCCAGGTGCTTGGGCCCTGCACCCCATGGGAGACCAGGAAAAGCAGCTGGCTCCTGGCTCCTGCCATCGGATCAGCGCGGTGCGCCGGCTGCAGCGGCGGCCATTGGAGGGTGAACCAACGGCAAAAGGAAGACCTTTCTCTCTCTGTCTCTCTCTCTCACTGTCCACTCTGCCTGTCAATAGACAAAACCAAAAGAATAATCTGTGCTTTAGTTAGACTGAAGAACTCAGTGTATCTCAGGTAGGCTTACATTTTCTTACCCACTTTCTTCTTAGACTCTCCAGCTTATATCTCTTTCTCTTTCAAGACCAAGTTCTTTCCTATAAAATTTATTTACTTCCTCAATTTTCCATTCCAAAAATATATTTACCTAACTTTTCTGAATATCTATTTTTTATATTTTCAAAATATTCTACCTTCTATGATTATTTATGAATATATATAAAATATCATAGATCACATGTTCTTTCAGGGTATGGACTCTGTTTTATTTTATATTTATTCATTTATTTGAAAGTCAGAGTTACACACACAGAGAGAGAGAGAGAGAGAGAGGTCTTCCATCTGCTGGTTCACTCCCCAGTTGGCCACAATGGCCAGAGCTGCACCGATCCAAAGCCGGAGCCAGGAGCTTCTTCTGGGTCTCTCACACAGGTGCAGGGGCCCAAGGACTTGGGCCATCTTCTACTGCTTTCCCAGTCCATAGCAGAGAGCTGGATCAGAAGTGGAGCAGCTAGGACACGAACCGGCGCCCATATGGGATGCAGGCGCTGCAGGCTGTGGCTTTACCCACCATGCCACAGTGCTGGCCCCATGGCTGTTTGCTTTTGTTAAGTCTTGTGGATGACTACTGAGGTCAGTGTAAATGTAAAATGAGAGAGGGAGAGAAAAAGAACTTGAGCATCTCCATTTTACTGCTGTTTGATCCTGCTCTATTTAGGGTGAATTAAGTGTGATTATTTAGAAATATATGAAAATTTCAAAGTAGCACAAAGTAATTTCTTTTGCTTAATCTAATGTGATTTGATTAGTTCTCTGGGAAAAATATAGGTGCTTTGAAAGACTTTTTTTCAAATAAGTCATTCATTTACTATAGGTTTTTAATTGTTTAATAAAAATTAATTAAAAATTATCATTAAGATGTTGAAACATTATATAATATATTTTAAAGATTTATTTATTTTATTTGAAATGCAGAGATACAGAGAGAGAGATCTTCCATCTACTGGTTCACTCCCCAGATGGCCACAACACCAGGGCTAGTCCAAGCCATAGCCAGGAACCAGGAGCTTTTTTTGGGTCTCCCACATGGGTGCAGGGGCCAAAGTACTTGGGCCATCCTCTACTTTTCCAGCCACATTAGCAGGGAGCTGGATCAGAAATGGAGCAGCCAGGACTTGAACTTGGCACCCATTTGGGATGCCAACACTGCAGATAGAGGCTTAACCTTCTGAACCACAGCTCCAGCCCCAAAATATTTTATATTTCTAGTTTTGAATAATATAATGAATGAAAAATAATAGTTTTCCTTAATGTCAATTCTAGGAGTCATCACCTAAATAATTTTGTATGTAAAGTTAATTTTTAAAATTCCTTTTAAAAGTGTGAAACTCTTAACTATTCTATCCATTTGTTAACTATCCCATGTATAAGGGTACTTCAAAAGTTCATGTAAAAATGGGTAAGTTCAGAGGTAGACATTTGGCTCAACAGTTAAGACACTGCTTAGGATGCTTACATCCTACATCACCTATCTGAGTGCCTGGGTTCAAGTCACTGCTCCACTTCTGATCCAGTTTCCTACTAATGCACAACCTGGGAGGCAGCAGGTAGATAGCTCATCTGCTTGGATCCTTGTCTCTCATGTGGGAGAGCCAGGTGGAGTCCTGGGCTCTTGGCTTCATCCTGGACCATCCTTGGCTGTCGCAGGCATTTGGTGAGTGAACCAGTAGAAGGAAGACCTCTCTTTCTCTGTCTCTCTCTCTCTCTGTCTTTCTCTTTCAGTTGTTCTGCCTTTCAAATAAACCACACTATTTTTTTAATTTTGAAATCCATTCATAGGTTTTTGTACAGCTTTTCCATGAACATTTTGAAAATTCATTATATGCATGTATTTCAGAATTTTTGCACCAGAATAAATATCTTAATTCAATTTCCCATGAACTTTTAAAAGTACCGTTTTCATAGTTGAGTGAACGAGTTTGACTTATGCAGATCTCAAATCCATCATTTTTTTTCTCTCTATTCTGATTGCCATGATTTTAGGTAAGGTCAGTCTTTCATCATCTTTTTGCAGTACACTAGACATTTTTTTTTCCCTTTTGGTTATTACCACTTTTAGCCTTTCTACAGGTTCTTTATTGAGTGATCCTTATAAAGCAATTCAAATCATATTGTACATCTGCTTGAAAAACTTTAATGATTTCATATTACTTACTGAAGTCCAAATTCTAAAGAGGAACATTCATTAATTTTTCCAAGCTCCTTCTCTTTAATTCTCATTTATTACAGCTTTGTTTTTTCTCAGTGCTCTTGCCAGTTTGGAATGACTTCTGTTGCTCTAATACTTCCTATGTGTGTCTAATTCTATGTCTCTTATAGTCTGTTCATTTAAGGTCTTTAATGCATTTACTGCCTTGTACTAGTATACTAGTTTTTTATATACTTGAGTTCAGATTACTTGAAATGATTTGACTTTGTTTTAACCTTTCATAATTGTAAAGTCAATACCTTAAACAGAAGAGGAATACAATTAAATATATGCTAAAGGAATAAATGATTCAATATTACTCTATTTATTGTATGTAATATATAAAGTATATAAGTAAATATATATTCAGTAGATAGGTAAATTTTGTATTACATGAATAGCATGATATTGTAATATTTTTCTTCCCCAGGAAACTTATTTAGGAAGCCAGAAGTAGAGGATGCCTTTACATTTTCTTTTCCGTCAGACACTTCAACTCATACATTTGGAGCAAGGAAAGATGATTTTAATTTTCCGTTTTCATTTGAACAGGATCAAAACTCAATACCTTCTTCTTCCTTAAAAGGCTTTTCATCTTCCTCTCAAAATACAGCACAGTTTACTTTTTTTTGAACTAGTTACTAATTTCTTGAGTTATTCTACTCTGAAGTCATCTAGGGCATAAATTTGTTATTGAAAATATGAAAACTATTTTCTTTTGTTAAAGCAATAATGAGTACTGTAGTTAATTATTTTATTGTGTTAATTTAAATAGTTAAGTATTGAGCATTTTATTTGTGACAATAGCTGATGATTAATTTTGATTTTGAAAGTCATATTTGGACAGAACTTTTGTTAATAGAATTTGTTATTTTTTCTATTATGTTTTATTATAAGTATTAAACCTGCTTTACTGTGGAACTCAAGTTTCATTTTGAGAGTATTTCAGATGGTTTAATAAGAACAAGAATTCCTTCAGACCCTCAGAGGACTTTTTAGTGGTAACTGCAGAATTAGTGCTGAGGTGTACTTTAACAACCAAACCATTCTCTTAAAATTACTGGATTTCACTTATGCTTCACTGCGACAGGATAAAGAGTGATACTCTAATAATGATTTCAAAGAATTTATATTATCAATAGTGAATAAAGTCTGTGTTGTTTTCTTCTAATACAACAAATGGTAAAATTCTATTTCAGTTGTGCTAGTATCTTTAATGTAAGAAAACTGAATATGAAAGACTAATTTCTGAAAATTGAATTGTGAGTGATCCTGTTGGTGTCTTCTTTTGCTTAAATCTTTTTTGAAAAACATTCAAATTTTATTTCTTGAACAAAAAATTCATTTTCATGTTTTATATTTGTCAGCTATCTTAAATGAAGGCATTTAACATATGATAAAATTGTGTAAACATATTGCCCAGTACCTTTGTATTTTGTTTAAAAAATTTAGTTGTATTGAGTTATCAAGTAATAAAGAATATGACTCTGAATTTTGATGTGTGCTGACAGATTTTAAACCTCACCTCACTTTTTTTTTTCTTCTCTCCCACATCTGGTCAAACTGATAAGTCTAGTTGCTCATTTTGGTTCCAGCAGAAAGTTCAAACCATGTATGGTAACTGTCCCTCCCCCTCAATGCCACCCCGTCATAAAAACCCAAAGCCAGTCTCCTTTTTCTGCTTTCTCAAGCCATTTTTACCTAAGCCTGGGAAACACAGTGCTCTCCCCAGAAAGACTTGTCATGTGAGTAGAATATCTTTTTCACACCTTTTTGAGATATTTGCAGCATTATTAGCCTTTATATGCAAACCAAATTTCGCCTCTAATGACAGCTGGTATTTATTGGTTTGTGGAAACATTACTTCAGTTTCCAAAGCCAGTGTATTACTTAGAGTTCTCTGGAGAAATAGAATCTACAGCATGCATCTATACTTTGTGTATTATCTAAGATCTGTTATGTGTAGGCATCCATCTATATGGATTTATTTTAAGGAACTGTCAGGATTGTGGAGCCGGCAAGTCTGAAATCTATAGGACAAGCTGATAGGCTGAAAACTCAGGTAAAATTAATGCTACTTTCAAGTCCAAAATCCACAGGACAAGCAGCCTGGAAACTCTGGCCAGGTTTTTGTGTTGCAGTATTAAGATTGAATTTCCTCTTCTGCACATCTCTGTCTTTGCTCATAAGGCTTTCAGCTGAGTAAATGAGGCTCAACCACATTATGGAGGGTAATTTGCTTTACTGTCTTCTGATTTAAATGTTAATAGAGCTAAAAAATAACTTCATAGGAACATCTAGAATGGTGTTTGACCAAACAACTGGGAAACATATCAAGTTGAGATAAAATTAACCATCATTGCCAGCCTCTTAATACTGCTTTTGATGTATTCCAGAGGTTTTGGTATGTTGAGTTTTCATTTTCATTTATTTCAAGAAAGTCTTTTTATTTCCCTTTTAATTTCTTCAATGACCCATTGAGCATTCAGTAGCATGTTGTTTAATTTCCAAGTGTCTATGAGTATTCTATGTTCTTCTTGTTGGTTTCTAGTTTTATTTCTTTATGAGAAAATACATGATATGATTTCAAAATTTTTAAATTTGCTGAAACTTGATTTGTGGCCTAATATGTTTGGGTCTATCCTAGAAAAAGTTCCATGTGCCGTTGAGGAGAAGGTTCATTCTGTAGCCACTGGGTGAAATGTCCTATAGTGTCTGCTAGGTCCATTGGCTTAAAAGTATATTTCAACTCCAATGTATCTTTATTTCAACTCCGATGTATCTTTATTGAGTCTCTGACCTGCCCACTGATGAGAATGGAGTGTTGAAGTCACCCACTATTATATTGGAGTCTATCTCTCCCTTTAGGTCTAATAATATTTGCTGTATATATCTGGATGGTCTTGTGTTGGGTGCATATATATTTATATTGTTACATCTTCTTGATGAATAGAATGTTTTATCAAAATATAATGTCCTTCCTTACCTCTTTTTACAGTTTTTGATTCAAAGTCTGTTTTGTTTGTTATCAGGACAGCTATGCCGGCTTGCTTTTGGTTTCCACTTGCCTGTTATTTCTTTTTCCAACCCTTCGCTTTCAGTCTGTGTATCTTTGTGAAGTGAGTTTCTTATAGCAGCATATGGGGGGAGGGGGATAGTTTTTTATCCCTTTAGCCAACCTAAGTCTTTTGGTTGGTGAATTTAATCTGTTTGCATTCAGTGTTAGTGTTGATAGATAAGAACTAAGATCTGTAATTTTGTTGATTGGATAATGATTCTACCTGCTCCGTCAATGAATGTGCTGGTGACATGTGTTTCATGTTTACTTCTAAAGCAGGACAACTTCAGAAGAATTTCTTGTAAGGCTGGTCTGGTAATGGTGAATTCTTTCAGTTTTTGCTTATCTGGAAAAATACTTTCTCCTTCACTTTTAGGGGGTAAGTTCACTGGATATAAGATCCTTAGTTGGAAGTTTTTTCTTTTAAGACCTTGAATGTATCATCCCATTCTCTTCTGGACTGTAGGGTTTCCACTGAGAAGTCTGATGTTAATCTAATTGATTTCCCTTTATATATAATTTGACGCTTTTTCTGTTATTTTCTTTAGGATTCTCTCCTTGTCTTTAACTTTTGACAATTTGATAACAATATGCCTTGTGAGAATACCTTTTTTGGCTGAGTCTGCTTGAGGTTCTTTGAGCTTCTTGTATCTGAATGTCCATGTCTCTTTCAAGACCTGGGAAATTTTCAGTTATTATTTCATTTAGCAGTTTCTCAATGACTTTTTTTCTTTTCTTCTCCTCAGGAATACCTAAAATACGAATATTTGGCCATTTAATTGTATCCCATATTTTATGTAGACTTTTATTCATTCTTTTCATTTTTTTTCTCTTTGTTTTGTCTGATTGGGTTATTTCAAAGTTCTTGCCCTCGAGGTCAGAAATTCTTTCTTCCATTTGTCTATTCTGCTGTTAAAGCTCTCATTCATATTTTTTATTTCACTGATTGAAGATTTCATCTCTAAAATTTCTATTTGGTTCTACTTAATTAGTTCTGTCTCCTTAGTAATATTTTCATTCATGTCACTCATTGATAACCTCATTTCTTTAATCAATAATATTCTCTCCTTACATCTTGTTCAATTTCCTTACAGTCATTTCATAGATTTCCTTCAGTTCATGAAGGAAATATTGTGTTCTTTGGAGGCATCATGCTACCTTGCTTCTTCATGTCTCCTGGGTCCCTATGTTGATATCTGCCCATCTCGTGTACTTATCCCCTTCTCTCTTTTTTTTAAACTTTTATTTAATAAATATAAATTTCCAAAGTACAGCTTTTGGATTACAGTGGCTTTTCCCCCCCATAACTTCCCTTCCACCTGTAACCCTCCCATCTCCTGCTCCCTCTCCCATCCCATTCACATCAAGATTCATTTTTGTCAGCACCATGGCTCAATAGGCTAATCCTCCACCTGCGGCACTGGCACCCCAGGTTCTAGTCCCGGTTGGGACGCCAGATCCTGTCCCGGTTGCTCCTCTTCCAGTCCAGCTCTCTTCTGTGACCCGGGAGTGTAGTGGAGGATGGCCCAAGTCCTTGGGCCCTGCACCCGCATGGGAGACCAGGAGAAGCACCTGGCTCCAGGCTTTGGATCAGCGCAATGCGCTGGCTGCAGCACGCCGGCCGCAGCAGCCATTGCAGGGTGAACCGATGGAAAAGGAAGACCTTTCTCTCTGTCTCTCTCTCTCACTGTCCACTCTGCCTGTCAAAAAAAAAAAAAAAAAAAGATTCATTTTCAATCATCTTTATATATAGAAGATCAATTTAGTATATATTAAGTAAAGATTTCAACAGTTTACACCCACACAGAAACACAAAGTGTAAAGTACTGTTTGATTACTAGTTATACCATTGATTCACATAGTACAATACATTAAGGACAGAGATCCTACATGGAGAGTAAGTGCACAGTGACTTCTGTTGTTGATTTAACAATTGACAATCTTGTTTATGACGTTAGTAATCACCCTAGGCTCTTGTCATGAGTTGCCAAGGCTATGGAAGCCTTTTGCGTTTGCCAACTCTGATCTTATTTAGACAAGGTCATCATCAAAGTGGAAGTTCTCTCCTCTCTTCAAAGGCCTTCTTTGATGGCCTGTTCTTTCCACTGGGATCTCACAGAGATCTTTCATTTAGGTGTTTTGTTTGTTTGTTTGTTTGTTTGCCACAGTGTCTTGGCTTTCCATGCCTGAAATACTTTCATGAGCTTTTTAGCTGGATCTGAATGCCTTAAGGGTTGATTTTGAGGCCAGAGTGCTGTTTAGGACATCTGCCATTCTGTGAGTCTGCTGTGTATCCCACTTCCCATGTTGGATCGTTCTTTCCTTTTTAATTCTATCAGTATTAGTGTTGTGCCCAGATCGCTAGATCCCTGCAGAGACCCCCAGAGAGTCGATCACACAGAAATTTTGTTCTTTTCCTATCTCAGAGCAGCTGAAGTTGGTGTGACTGTAGCCTATTCAGCCATCTTGGCTACCCCAATACATTTTCTTGTTGTTGTTCATTTTTTATAGCTGTGATGTAGCCTTGCATAGAGACTTTTTTTAAACCCAGAAACCTTTTATTTAAGGTATAAAAACTTCATGCATTTCATAAATACAAATTTAGGCACATAGTGATTCTTCCCATCCTCCCCTCTATCCTACCTGCACTCCCACCTTTCTTCCTCTTCCCTCTCATTCCCATTCTTATTTTTTACTAAGATCTATTTTCAGTTGACTTTATACACATAAGATCAATCCCACCTTAAGTAAAGAGTTCAACAAATAGCGTGGGGGAAAAAAAAACTGTTCCTCAACAGTCAAGACACACATCTCAAAGTTAAATTCACGTCTATAGATTATCTCTTAGGTATTCTATTAGTTATCACAAATCAGGGAGAATATATGATATTTGTTTTTTTGGGACTGGCTTATTTCACTAAGTATAGCGATTTCCAGTTGCATCCATTTTGTTGCAAATGACAGGATTTCATTTTTTTTTTATCACTGTGTAGTATGCCATGGTGTACTTATCCCGTAAGTTCTTTATGCAGTCTTCAGTTAATGGATATGGGTTGATTCCATATCTTAGCTATTGTGAACTGAGCTACACTGAAGAAGCTCCTGGCTCCTGGCTACTGGCTTTGGATGAGCCTAGCTGTGGCCCTTATGGCCATTTGGGGAGTGAACCAGCAGATGGAAGATCTCTGTCTGTCTGCCTATGCCTCTCTGTAACTGATTTCAAATAAATAAATAGGCTGGCACTGTGGCTCACTTGGCTAATCCTCCACCTGCGGCGCCAGCACACTGGGTTCTAGTTCTGGTTGGGGTGCTGGATTCTGTCCCTGTTGCTCCTCTTCCAGTCCAGCTCTCTGCTGTTGCCTGGGAGTACAGTGGAGGATGGCCCAAGTGCTTGAGCCCTGCACCCGCATGGGAGACCAGGAAGAAGCACCTGGCTCCTGGCTTCGGATTGGTGCAGCGCGCTGGCCACAATGGCCATTGTGGGGTGAACCAACGGAAGGAAGACCTTTCTCTCTGTCTCTCTCTCTCTCTCACTGTCTAACTCTGCCTGGCCAAAAAATAAAATAAAAACAAATAAATAAATCTTTTAAAAATATATGTATTTTAAGTTTTTTTAACTTTACTGAAGTAACATTGACAAAAATTATATTTTATGTGTACAACATAATTTTTAAAGATTTATTTATTTGAAAGTTAGAGCATCAGAGAGGGAATAGAAAGAAAGAGAAGAGGGAGCTAGAGACCTTCCACCTGCTGGTTTACTCCCCAGATGACTGCAGTAACCAGGAAGTTCTTACATGCCACAAGATGAATGAACCTGTAGGAAATCATGCTAAATGAAATGTCACAAAAAGAGAAGTACATACTGTATGATATAAGGTACTTACAGTAGTCAAAATCAGAGGCAGAAAGTAAAATGATATTGCCAGATGCTGGGGAATTATTGCTTAATAGGTGTAGTGTTTCAGTTTTACAAAATAAAGAGTTATTATGGAGAATGATGGTGGTGATGGTTGTATAACATTATAGATGTATTTAGTATCACAAAACTGTACACTTAAAATGCAGTAATCCCCCCTGATTTTTTTAGAGGGTATATTCCTAGACCTAGTGTATGTCTGAAACCATGGATCATAGCAAACCATATATATGTACTATGTTTTTTTTTTCTTATACACATACATAATAAGAATTTACTTTATAAATTAGGCACAGTATGAGAGTAACAAAATTAGTAATAAAACAGGAATATTGAGCCGGCGCCGTGGCTCAATAGGCTAATCCTCCACCTTGCGGCGCCGGCACACTGGGTTCTAGTCCCGGTCGGGGCGCCGGATTCTGTCCCGGTTGCCCCTCTTCCAGGCCAGCTCTCTGCTATGGCCAGGGAGTGCAGTGGAGGATGGCCCAGGTGCTTGGGCCCTGCACCCCATGGGAGACCAGGAAAAGCACCTGGATCCTGGCTCCTGCCATCGGATCAGCGCGGTGCGCCGGCTGCAGCGGCGGCCATTGGAGGGTGACCCAACGGCAAAGGAAGACCTTTCTCTCTCTGTCTCTCTCTCTCACTGTCCACTCTGCCTGTAAAAAAAAAAAAAAAAAAAAAAAAAAAAAAAAAAAAACAAAAAAAAAAAACCAGGAATATTATAACAATACACAATGAGAAAAGTGAGTATAGTCTTTCTAAGATGGCTAATAAGTGATCAATGGGAAGGTAATGTCTACAGCATGGATATCCTGGACAAAAAAATAATTCATGACCTAGGTAGTCAGAGCAGGACTTCCATAAGTTAGCCAGACGAGGAGTGGGGTAGGGAGCACATAGCCTCAGGCTTGAGTTATTTGTTTCTGAAGTTTTCATGTAATATTTTTGGATTGAATTAACCATGAGTAACTGAAAATGTGGAAAGTAAAACCACAGATAAGTGGGGATTACTGTGGTTAAGATGGTAAGTTTTTATTTTATGTATATTTTACCACCATAGAAAAAAAATTGAGGAAAAATTAAATGACCACAAGAAATAGTAACCAAAAGAAGGCCATTTAGGCCGGCACCGTGGCTCAATAGGCTAATCCTCCACCTAGCAGCGCCAGCACACCGGGTTCTAGTCCCGGTTGGGGCGCCGGATTCTGTCCCGGTTGCCCCTCTTCCAGTCCAGCTGTCTGCTGTGGCCAGGGAGTACAGTGGAGGATGGCCCAAGTGCTTGGGCCCTGCACCCCATGGGAGACCAGGAGAAGTACCTGGCTCCTGCCTTTGGATCAGCGCGGTGCGCCGGCCGTGGCGGCCATTGGAGGGTGAATCAACAGCAAAAGGAAGACCTTTCTCTCTGTCTCTCTCTCTCACTGTCCACTCTGCCTGTCAAAAAAAAAAAAAAAAAAAAAGCCATTTAAAAATAAATTGCAAGGGCAGGCATTTGGTAAACTGGTTTTTAAAATGCCACTTTGGATGCCTACACCTCATATCAGAGTGCCTGGATTCAAGTCCTGGCTCCACTCCCAATTCCAGCTTCCTGATAATGGGCACCTTGGGAGGTAGCAGTGAGGACTCAAGCAGGTGTTTGTCTGTCACCCAACTGGGAGGCCTGCACTGAGTTCCCAACTCCTGTCTTTGGTCTGCCTCAGCCCCATCATGCGCATTTGGAGATTTAACCAGTGGGTGAGAGCTCTCTGTTTTCTGTCTCCCTGTCTTTCAGATAAAATGAATAAATAAATTATTATTTTATCTTATTAAATTATTTATTTATTTGAAAGGCAGAATTACAGAGCGGGAGATAAAGAGAGTGATCTTCCATCCTCTGGCTTACTCTGCAAATGGCCACAACAGCCCAGGTTGGGGCAGGCTGGAGCCAGGAGCCAGGAGCCTTATTCAGGTCTCCCACATGGGTGTCAAGGGCCCAAGCACTTGGGCCATCCTTCTCTATTTTCCCAGGCACATCAGCAGGGAGCTGGATCAGAAGTGGAATAGCCACCCACATGGGATGCTGGCACAGCAAGCGGCAGCTTTAACTGCTGCACCACAGCACCAGCCTGCAATAAATAAATGTTTAAAAAATAATAAAAAGTTGCAAATATGTAATTTCTAATAAGAACATTATTCTATGTAAGCAAAATGCCATTATCACACTTAACAATTCTAATGCTGATATAAGAATATTATTTAATATGTAGTTTATATTGGAAAAATTAAAAGTAAGCATCAAGAGAGTAACATTGCACAGAATAAACTGTTAACATTTTGGTATTTCATTGCAATATATGTATATATTTACATAGTTGAACACAGTGTATGTAGTAGTGCTTCAGTCTTTTAATTTTTTCAACTAGCAGAGTATAATACAGATTCTAAGATGGCATTAAACATGCTTTATAAAAATAAAAAGTGATGTGTCTAGAAGCAGAACTGCTGAGCTGCAAACAACCTGGGTGTGAGTCAGAGAATATTAGGACAAGCCTGTCCACCAGGAATATAGATTTGATTGCATGTGACTTGTGTCAACTTTGGAGAAATCAAGAGCAAAATGTAAAGCAAGGCAAAGGAAATGCTTTTAAATGAGCCATTCAGCCTCTAAGGCAAGTTATATGGCAGCAATTGAAATTCAAAGGGAAAGCATCAACATGCCAGGTTTAACCATCTTTAAATCACACATCACTTATTCACTCATTCCTTCACAAGATCAAGTTTTATTTTTAAAATTTTAATAACAGCAATTATTAGCACTATCTGGGCATTTAGCAGTTACAAAAGCTCTACTCAGATACCTCTTAGGGCCCCTGAAATTCTAATACTCAGACGGAAGCCACAAAATATTAATCTTTATATTTTCCATTCACCAAAAAGGATTTAAAAACTGAATCAGCGTGGTAGGAGATAGCCTTCTACTGTATAATGTAAATCTGTACATTCCAATCTGCTCTAAACAGTAGCATTTATGTCTTGTTTTCGTACTACACTTTAGTGCATTAATGCTATAACTCACAAATAGAGAGGTATTTCATTCCTGGGGCTTTAAAGTTAATGTAAATATCACAGTTGAAAATCTAATAGAACACTGAAAAAAAGTAAAGCCAGTTAAATGGTGAATTGCCTTAATACATACATTGAGTCAATCTTTTAATTAGAACCAAGTGATTTCTGGTGGTATGGTTCAGAACTGTTAAGAAAGCTGGTCCTGGGGCCAGCGCTGTGGCACAGCCGGTTAAAGCCCCTGCTTGAAGTACTGGCATCCCATACGAGTGCCAGTTCGAGTCCCAGCTGCTCCACTTCCCATCCAGCCCTCTGCTGTGGCTGTGGCCTGGGAGGGCGGTGGAGGATGGCCCAAGTCCTTGGGCCCCTGCACTCATGTGGGAGACCTGGAAGAAGCTCTTGGCTCCTGACTTCAGATTGGTGCAGCTCCAGCCACTGCAGCCAATTGAGGAGTGAACCAGTGGATGGAAGATATCTCTGTCACTACCTCTCTCTCTAACTCTGACTTTCAAATAATAAATCTTTAAAAAAAAAAAAAAAAAAGAAAGAAAGCCAGTCCTGTTTAAATAAACATCCTTAAGTCTCAGAGTTCAAAAAGCTGCCTGTATTTCACTGGCAAAGATTTGTATTTCCAGTGAGATGGTAGAATAGGAGCTTCCAGTGCCCGTCCCCTTGTGGAATCATCAATTTGAACAACTGTCCACATGAGAAAACAGCTGCAAAGGAGCTCAAGGATCCAGATGAGAGAATGCAGCACCTGAGTGGGGCACAGAAAGAAGAAAAGAGGCACTGGAGGGGGCAGAACAACAGTCTCCGCTCACCCAAGCCTCAGCTCTGCAGCACAGACATCTGCACAGGAGAGTGAGCCCTTGGCTTTGCTATAGTGAAGCACCAGGCCCACCTCAGTCATCCTGGTGCCATGATTGCCGGGCAGCCCCACCTCCAGGCCTACCCCAGCACCAGGCTAACACAACCTCAGGTTCCAGGCTAGCTAGGCCTGCCCCAGGATGGCTGTTAGAAAAAGACAAAAGATTTATTTGAAAGACTGAGTTACAGAAAGAGAGAGACACATAGAGAGGTATCTTCCATCCACTGATTCACTCCCCAAATGGTCACAACGTCTAGAGCTGGGCCAAATCAAAGCCAGAGCCAGGAGCTTCATCTGGGTCTCCCACAATGGTACAAGAACTTGGGCCATCCTCTGCAACTTTTCCAGGCACATTAGCAGGGAGCTGGATCAGAATCAGTGCAGCTGTAAACTTGAACCAGTGCCCATATGGGATGCAGGCTTGTAGGTGGTGGCTTAACCTGTTGTACCACAGCACCAGCCCCATATGGAATTTTTTTTTTTAAGATTTATTTATTTTGCTTGAAAGAGTTACACAGAGAGAGAAGGAGAGGCAGGACGAGACAGAGAGAGAGAGAGAGAGAGAGGTCTTCCATCTGCTGGTTCACTCCCCAATTGGCTGCAAAGGCCGGAGCTGTGCCAATCCGGAGCCAGGAGCTAGGAGCCTGCTTCAGGTCTCCCACACGGGTGCAGGGGCCCAAGGACTCGGGCCATCTCCTACTGCTTTCCCAGGCCACAGCAGAGAGCTGGATAGGAAGTGGAGCAGCTGGGTCTCGAACCCGCGTCCATATGGGATGCCGGCACTGCAGGCTGGGTTTTAACCCACTGCACCACAGCACCGGCCCTGCCCCATATGGAATTAAAAAAAATTTTTTTGGATTCTTCATTGGTGGTGTATAGAAATGAAACGTATTTTTGTATGTTGACTTTGCATCCTGCTGCTTTGCTAAAGTTATTGATTAGTCCTAGCAGAATATTTTTGTGTGTGCAACTTTTAGGATTTTTTGTCTATAAAATCATATCATGGCCGGCGCCGAGGCTTAATAGGCTAATCCTCCACCTGCGGTGCCAGCACACCAGGTTCTAGTCCCGGTCGAGGCGCCGGATTCTGTCTCGGTTGCCCCTCTTCCAGTCCAGCTCTCTGTTGTGGCCCTGGGAGTGCAGTGGGCCCCTTGGGCCCTGCACCCGCATGGGAGACCAGGAGGAAGCACCTGGCTCCTGGCTTCAGATCAGCGCAGTGCGCCGGCCGCAGCACGCCGGCCACAGCGGCCATTGGAGGGTGAACCAACAGTAAAGGAAGACCTTTCTCTCTGTCTCTCTCTCTCATTGTCTATTCTGCCTGTCAAAAGAAAAAAAATCATATCATATGCAAACATATAATTTTACTACTTCCTTTCCAATTTGGAGGCCTTCCCCCCTCAATTGCTTTTTCCCCCCAATTGCTTTCATACTCTTGTAATTATTTTGAAGTATATAACAGATTATTGTAGACCATAGTTGCCCTTCTAGGCTATAGAACATCAGAATATTGTGCATTTTTTAAAAAGAACTTATTTATTTATTTGAGAAGCAGAGAGATAGGAAAACAGATACAGGGAACCCCCATGTACTAGTTCATTCCACCAGATGCCTGCAATGACCCATACTAGGCTTGGTTAAAGTTGGGAGCTGGAAACATATTCCAAGTGTTCCAGATAAATGTCAGGAACCCAATTACTTGAGCCATCACTGCTTCCTCTGAGGGCCTACATTGCTGGAAGCTGGAGTCAGGAGCTGGAGTAGGTATTGAACTCAGGTGCTCTGATGTGGAATGCAGGCATCTTAACCAGCATCTTAATCTTAAGTTTCTCTTTTTTATTGGAAAGGCAGAGTTACAAAGAGAGAGGGGGAAAGACAGAAAGAGATTTTCCATCCTCTGGTTCATTCCCCCAAGATGGCCGCAACGGCCAAAGCTGCACTGATCCGAAGCCAGGCCGATCCAGAGCCAAGAGCTTCTTCTGGGTCTCCCACATGGATGCAGGGGCCCAAACACTTGGCATCTTTTGCTGCTTTCTCAGGCACATTAGCAAGGATCAGACATGGAACAGTCAGACTCAAACCCAGAGCCCATATGGGATGCCCAGAACCCATATGGGATGCCAGGGCTGCAGGAGTGGCTTAACCTGCTGTACCACAGCGCCGACCTATACCCCATGTTTTTTAATGCAAGCATCTTTACCTATAAATTTTCTCCTCACACTGGGGCTAGCATTTTGGCATAGAGAATTAAGCTACCACTTGTGATGCCAGCATCCAATATGGGTGCCAGTTTGAGTCCTGGCTGCTCCTTGTTGATTCAGCTCTCTGCTAATGGCCTGGGAATGCAGCAGAAGATGGCCCGAGTGCTTGGGCACCTGCACCCATGTGGGAGACCCAGGTGAAATTCCTGGCTCCTGGTTTCAGCCTGTTCCAATCTTGGCTGTTGTGGCCATTTGGTGAGTGAACCAGCTGATGGAAGCTCGCTCTCTCTCTCTCTCTCTCTCTCTCTCCCCCCCTTTATCTCTCCTCTCTCTCTCTCTAACCCTGCCTTTCAAATAAGTATATAAATCATTTTTTAAAGATTTATTTATTTATTTATTTGAAAGAGTTACACAGAGAGGAAAGAGAGAGAGAGAGAGAGAGAGGTCTTCCATCCGATGGTTTACTCCCCAACTGGCTGCAACAGCCAGAGCTGCACCGATCCGAAGTCAGGAGCCAGGAGCTTCTGGGATTCCCTTGCAGGGGCCCAAGGACTTGGGCCATCTTCTGCTGCTTTCCCAGGCCATATCAGAGAGCTGGATTGGAAGTGGAGCAGCCAGGTCTCGAACCGGTGCCCATATGCGATGCTGGCGCTTCAAGCCAGGACGTTAACCCGCTGCACTACAGTGCTGGCCCTTAAACAAGTATATAAATCTTTAAAAAAAAACTGTTGAGATTTAATTTGTAAACTAAATTTGGTCTTTCTGAGAAAATGTCTCATGTGTACTTGAGAAGAATGTGTATGCTATTGTTATTGTATAGCATGTTTTGTATATGTCTGTTGCATCTAGTTGGTTTGTTCTGTTAAGTCCTCCATTTCCTTCCTTATTTTCTGTCTTATTCTAGCCATTATTAAGAGTGAAGTATTGAGTCTCTGTTAATAGAACTCTGTGATTATTCCTTTAGTTCTGTCAATTTTGCTGCATTTTTTATGGTTTGAATTTAGAGGTGTAAATGGTTATTATTGGTATACCTTATTGCTATATTGAACCTTTAATTAAAAAAATAATATATTATTATATGATGTCCTTTGTCTCTTGTAATCTTTTTGTTTGTTTTTTTAAAAAAAAGATTTATTTATTTTACTTGAAAGTCACAGTCACACAGAGAGAGGAGAGGCACAGAGAGAGAGAGAGAGAGAGAGGTCTTCCATCTGATGGTTCACTCCCCAGATGGCCGCAATGGCCGGAGCTGTGCCAATCCAAAGCTAAGAGCCAGTTCTTCTGGGTCTCCCACATGGATGCAGGGGCCCAAGGACTTGGGCCATCTTCTACTGCTTTCCCAGGTCATTGCAGAGAGCTGGAACAGAAGTGGAGCAGCCAGCTCTCAAACCGGCGCCCATATGGGATGCTGGCACTGCAGGCAGCAGCTTTACCCATTACACCACAGCGCCGGTCCCCTTGTAATCTTTTTTTTTTTTTTTTTTTGACAGGCAGAGTGGACAGTGAGAGAGAGAGACAGAGAGAAAGGTCTTCCTTTACCGTTGGTTCACCCTCCAATGGCCGCCACGGCTGGCGTGCTGCGCTGATCCAAAGGCAGGAGCCAGGTGCTTCTCCTGGTCTCCCATGGGGTGCAGGGCCCAAGCACTTGGGCCATCCTCCATTGCACTCCCTGGCCACAGCAGGGAGCTGGCCTGGAAGAGGGCAACCGGGACAGAATCTGGTGCCCCGACCGGGACTAGAACCCGGTGTGCCGGCGCCGCTAGGTGGAGGATTAGCCTAGTGAGCCGCAGCGCCGGCCTGTAATCTTTTTTGATACAAAGTTTGCATTATCTGATATTGGCACAGCCATCTTTCCTCTCTCTTGCTCACTCTTTTCAGTAGAGTATCTATTTCTATTCGTAACTTTCAATTTGTGTCTTTGGATCTAAAATGAGTCTCATGGGGCCAGCATTGTGGTTTGAGTCTCTGCTGCTCTACTTCCAATCCAGCTCCCTACTGATGCACCTGAGAAAGTAGTGGAAGATGGCTTAAGTGCTTGGGCCACTGCACCCACGTGGGAGACCCAGATGAAGCTCCTGGCTTCAGTCTGGGGCAGTCTTGGGTGTTGCAGCCATTTGGGGAATAAGCCAGTGGATGGAAGATCTGTCTTCTCTCTGTCTCTCCCTCTCTCTCTAACTCTGCCTTTCAAATAAATCGTTAAAAAAATGAGTCTCATGTAAACCACATGTAGTTGGAAAACATTTTTAAAACTCCAATCTGTCAGTTGGAAAATTTAATCCATTTAACTTTTAAAGTAATTGGTGACGAAGGACTTATTTCTGCCGTCTTGCTCTTTGTTTTCTTTAGACCTTAAGCCCCTTGTCCCTCATTTCCCATATTACTGTATTCTTTACTATTTAGCTGACATTCTGTGGTGAAGCTTTTACACTTCCTTCTCATTTCCTTTTGTGTGTGTGCTCCAGCTGTTTTCTTCATGATTACTGTGGGTATTGCATTTACATCCTAAAGTTGTGAAACTCTAATTTGAATTTTTACCAGCATAATTTCAATGGCATGCAGAACAATCTGCTTCATGGTAAAATATATATTATATATTTAATTTATTTGTCAGGGAGGGAGGCAGAAAGAGAGAGAGAGAGAATGCTGTTGTTCTTTGCTTTATTCTCCAAATGCCTGGGAGCTGGGAACTCGATCAGGGTCTCCCACATGGATGCAAGGAACCTGCTACTTGAACCATCACCTGTTACCTACCAGGGTGTGCATTAGCAGGAAGCTAGAATCACAGGAGTTCAGACTCAAACCTAGGTACTCTGATGTTGGATGCAGGCATCTTAACCATGTCTTAACTGCTAGGACGAATGTCCACCCCAAAACTCTGCTTCTTTAACAGTACCATCATTCGGCCGCCGTGGCTCACTAGGCTAATCCTCCGCCTTGCGGCGCCGGCACACCGGGTTCTAGTCCCAGTCGGGGCGCCGGATTCTGTCCCGGTTGCCCCTCTTCCAGGCCAGCTCTCTGCTGTGGCCAGGGAGTGCGGTGGAGGATGGCCCAAGTACTCGGGCCCTGCACCCCATGGGAGACCAGGAGAAGCACCTGGCTCCTGCCATCGGCGCATCGCGCCGGCCGCGGCAGCCATTGGAGGGTGAACCAACGGCAAAGGAAGACCTTCTCTCTGTCTCTCTCTCTCTCACTGTCCACTCTGCCTGTCAAAAAAACAAAAACAAACAAACAAACAAAAAACACAGTACCATCACTGCCCCCTTTCAGTTGTTGTCATAAAATTACATCTTTTATATTTTATGCCCCCAAACAGAACTAACAGTTATTTGAAATGTATTAATCTCTTAAATTATGTAGAAAGCAAATGTAGAGGGACGGCCGGCTGGACAGACTAACAGGCTGCTGCATTGCAGAGGCTCATGGCAGGGGTGGTGCTGGCACAGGGCTGGAAGCACATGTCCTGGGTCTGCTACCAGTACCCGCTCATCACGCTGGAGCCCTGGGAGCACATTGTGTTCAGTGCCTCGCTGGTTTCCATTGTGGGGATGGCGTTGACATGGGATACGTCCGTATGTCCCAGCACATCAAGGGGATATTGCACTACTTTGAAATTGTACAGTCACCTAGATGTGACCAGGACGGAGAGTTTCCTTGCAGAAGACCCACCTTACGAAGGTGGAATGAGACTATCAGATGTCAAAGGAAGCTCTACTAGGTTGCAGATGTCAGCATAACCAACCTTATAAAGACTAAAATTCGTGAGTAGAACAGGAAAATTATCTTAGCTTGTATGTTGTGTTCTTATTTTTAATTTAAAAAGGTGCTCCTATATAACAATTTTGTATGTTTTAACATTGCAGTGTAATATCAGTACTTTCTTAACTTTGTATTTTTCAATATTACCCCCATGAACACTTTTTTAGATGTAACTTTGAGTATGTCTTAATTGCCTGCTATTTTAAAACCTAAAAGCATTCATTTTCCTTGCTTTTGTGTGCAATTACATCTGCCTTGGTATATTTCCACTCTTGACAAAGTTCTGCAAGAAACTACACAAGACTTGGAGCAGGCAGATGGGGAGGAGAGGATATTTAATTGAAAACCAGTTACAAAAGACTTATCTGTAAGCCGGAGCCCAGGAGTACAATTTAAGATATCTGCACTCTGCAGCTTTTGCTTTAAAAGTGTTAAAGAGTTTCTTAACAATGAAAAAGAAAAGACCTTGCTAAAGTTAAAACAAAGAACGTTTCACCTTTTAAGTATTTAATTCTTATGTGGAATTTTTCCAGAAAATAAGGGATAATTCTTGTGTCAGAGGTGGTTACGCAGCACTCTTATGTAATGGTTATATAATGTGGAGTTTTTAACAAAAGATGAATCAGCTTCCTCTGGGGGCCACTGTGAACAGTGTACTTCCTTGAATTTAGTTTCTTGACTGTAGTGGGTTCTGCAAATGTATCTGCTCATTGCAATAACATAGGATGAGGTCGTTTGTTAACAACTATAGCAAAAGGAAGTATAAACGTGGTTCATAACTTTTTACCTTTTGTATTGTTTTTAAGATTTTCTTCCTTAAACATAAAACAACTATTTTTTAATGTAAGGTCATGAAATTCAAAGAGGGAAAAAAAGATTTTCAAGTTATAAACCAGTTACAGTAATACTAGCTTTTAGAGTATTTTTTTAAAATATGTTAGTCTCTTTAACCATCGTGGTTACAAACCACTATAAAAATAATAATGGCTTTGGAAATGGCCATGTATTTACCCTTATTTCTCCATAGGGATTCAAGTTACCATCTAGTGTCCTTTTATTTCATCCTACAAGATTCCCTTGAAAATGTCTTGCAGGGCAAGAATAGTAATTAACTTGCAGGTCTAATGGTAATGAGCTCCCTCAGCTTTTGTGTATCTGGGAATGTTTTAATTCAGCCCTCAGGGTTTTTTTAAAAGGCAGAGAGAGCAAGAGAGAAACAAAGACAGTCCATGCCCACATTCCAGCAGCACCTTAACTGCTACACCAAATGCCCAACCCACAGTACTTGGTTCTTTATTTCTTTTAAATTTATTTATTTATTATTTATTTATTTGAAAGTCAGAGAGACAGAGACATCTTCCACTTGCTGGTTCAATCCCCAAGTGCCTGAAACAGCCAGAGCTGGACCAAGCTGAAGCCAGAGACTGGGACCCAGTCTGGATCTCCCATGTGGGTGGCAGAGACCCAAGCACTTGAGCCACCATCAGCTGCCTCTGATGACGTGCATTAGCAGGAAGCCGAAATAAGAGCTGGAGCCGGGACTTGAAGATGTTGGCAGCAGCACTTGAACCTTCGTACCAAATGTCCACTCCTAGTTCCTCAGTTTTGAAGGACAGTTTTATTGGATATGTGAGGTGCTACAAAACATTCATGGAAAAATGAAATTAAAAATATGAATTTATTTTGGTGAATGAAAATTTGGAGGGCACAATTTTTTTTCATAATACATGGCGATTACTTTAAGTGTTCTCTCTGCTCTTCTCTGCCTCTTCTCACTCTAGCACCTCAGCAATGCATTTGTTGGTCCTGCTGGATGGTGCTCCGTGGGCCCTTTAGGCTTTGTTCTGTTTTTGTTCTATCTTTTTATTTTTGTACCTCACACTCAGTAATTTTTAAGCTCACTTATTCTTTCTTCTCAGGGCTCATATTTGCCTTTGAATCTCCCTAGTGAATTCTAAACTTTATTATTGTATTTTTCTGCTCCAGAATGTCTTTTGTTTATTTTTATGTTTTTCTATTTCTATATTGAAATTTCTACTTTGATCCTACATAATTTTTGCCTTTTTTTTTTTATTTTCCCCATTTTTTCTTTTAGTTCCCTGAGCATCTGTGAGACCCTTGTTTTAGGGGATCTGCATAGGAGATCTGTCATAATGTCCTTTTTTTATTTGTTTTTTAAAGATTTACTTATTTTATTTGAAAGTCAAAGTTACGCAGAGAGAGAAGGAGAGGCAGATAGAGAGAGGTCTTCCATCCTCTGGTTCACTCCCCAATTGAACACAATTGGCCAGAGCGGCCAGAGCTGCACCGATCCGAAACTGATCTGAAGCCAGGAGCCAGGAACCAGGAGCTTCTTCAGGTTCTCTCATGTGAGTGCAGGGGCCCAATGACTTGGACCCCACTTCCACTGCTTTCCCAGGCCATAGCAGAGAGCTGGATTGGAAGCGGAGCAGCCGGGACTCCAACTGACGCCCATAGAGGGTGCCAGCATTGCAAGTGGTGGCTTTACCCACTATGCCACAGCGCTGGCCCCTGTCATAAGGTCTTAATCTGGCAAAGTTTCTGTTTGTTTTTTCCCTCTGAAGAGGCCTTACTTTCTTGCCTTTTAGCATACCTTGCCATTTTTTTGTTGCTGAAAATTTGGTAGTCAAAACAAAAAATGTGGTAATTCTAGAAATCATACCCCACCCACCTCCCATTTCACCAGGATTTGCTGGGGCTTTTTGTTTCTATTTACTAGCTATTATTATTATTATTATTATTATTGATTGCATGCCAGAGACCAGCTTGAGGTGTAAATTAAGGTTTTCTTGGATCTTTTCTGAGCCTGTGGCTTTCTCTGGATATGTGTGATCACATACTAATTTTCCATGTAGATGCACTTGTTTTGATTATTTTAGTCTTTAATATCTGACTGATTATTTTAGTCTTTAATATCTGACTCCCAAAGGAGAAAAAGCAAAAAATGATTGTGATTTCTAGTTTCACTTCATTGTCTCTAGAACAGAGGAAGAGGGAGAGGGGGAGGGGGAGGTGTAATTT